GAAATTAGAAATAATATAGAATTAATCCCATAGGGCCGCAAGACCAAAAAGTAAGTAGAGAAGAGGAGAGAACGGAACGCGGGTGGGGCCATGTGCAGAAGTAAACCCAAGTGTGGAAAGTTTTTGACTCTCATTCACCTGGAAGTTTCCAGAAACGATTCTATTGCATATGGTTCAAGCAGCTCACGACTTCCGGTCTGAGACTAAGTATCTTCTGCCTAGCCAACAAACATGCGCTTGCAGGCGAGCTAAAGAGAGAAGGCGAATCCCATGCGGATACCCCCGTTTTGTTGGAATTAAAGATCACGATTTGAGGGCATGCGACTCCCGTTTTGTTGGAATTAAAGATCACGATTTGCGAGCATGCACCTTGAATATCCGGCCCCGACAAGGGAAGGTACCGCTGCCCAGCTGGTTGATGTCCACATAAAAATAAAGCCTGACATCTCGGTCGTCCAAAAGAAAGTGGATCCTTGTGAAACTTACTACAGCCGCCATATAAAGGAGCGCAACTTTGGTGTGGGATTCGTGGTAGAAAAAAGACTTCGTCGCCGAGGGGATGGACGTCACGCCAGAATTAGAATCAACACGAAATTTTTTAGCACCACGGTGATTTGCGTCCAAGTTCCGAAGGAGGATTTGACCAAAGATGCCTTATGCGAGCGGGGCAAAGAAGGTAGTTTTAAAATAACAGTCGGAAAATTCAGCCTCCGCGTGGAAACATTTCCAAATGGGCTAAGGCATCCACCTCTGCATATCGAAGAACGTCAACGAACACAAGGAAGGTTCGACGTGTAAAAGCTGCAATCACCACAGACTGCCGAAAGATTTTTTAGCCGACTTGCACCCCTGATTTCTGAGAGCACTCTTCAGCAACCCGGCATAAGAGAACTGCGGGACTGAATCTCAAATTCCCTACATATTACTGCCAAAGAAACCATTGGATTTCGGAATGGTCGCACAAAGGGCTGGTAAGATGAGCAATGCAATGCCGCGGTGGAGAGAAAACAGACTGCCTACCTCGCAACCTTGAGATCGGCCACAAAAAGTGTGGGTGGGATAGATATCGAGAGCTGAAGAGGGAAAACGAGAAGCGTGAGTATAAAGAGCAAAAGCAGCTGGCCGACTAGGGTGGTGCTCGAAAATTCTATGAGTAGATACGACGATTTTCGGAAGGTTTTAAGACCGGACAATACTGCTGTATTGGTGATCAAGCCACTGATGCTCAGAACGTATTGAATAAATAGAGGGAACATTTCTCTAGCCTGCTGAAAAGCAGTGAAAATGGAAAATACTGATATGGTGAGCCCGAAACAACAATAGATGATGTTCAAAAAGAAGTTCCATTATCACATAACAAGCAATCGCCCGCTCACATAAAAGACATCAAAGCGGCGCGAGCTGACGGCATACCGGTAGAGGTATTCAGACATGGCGGTGACTGGACAAGATGCATGTATCAGCTACTTTGCAAAATATGGTCGGACGAAAGCATGCTCGACGATTGGAATTTAAGTATGCTCTGCCAAATCCATAAAAAAGGAGACCCCACAGTCGCGTGGGATAAGCCTTCTTAATACCGTCCAAAAGGACCTGTCGAGCATATTGTATGACAGACTAAAGCCCGCCGTCAAATAAATTGATTGGACCTTATCAGTGTCGCTTTAGAACCGGTTAGTCAAACATTTAAGCGATTCTCACCATGTCTCAAATCTTGGAAAAGACCAGTGATACGGGGACCCCCAGCACGAAAAGGAGCTGCCCCAACGCTGCTATGTTTGAATTTGATATCCCCGCAAAACTTATACGGTTTTGTTATAGAGATGGGTAAGGACGTAACGAGGGTGTCGGCACGACAAAGCGCAAGCAAACAATAAATAATACTTATTGGTTGGTCGGTCGGGTGTGCGTCCCGACTTCGGTGCTCCTCCGGATGATGCCGACGCCAAACTCTGGTTCCGACACTGGAATATGCAAAAAACCTATTTTTGCACTGGGCTTCGAAGGCCCTTAAACAAGCCCCTATTGGCTTAAACAAGGCTTCAACTGCCCTTTTTTTCTTCCAAAGAAAATCGCACGCCTGCGTAAAAAAGATGTTCGCACTTTCGTAGATTGTTCAGAACTACAGCTCGGTGCGATGACGATTTATCGTAATGAAAAAGCCCTGACATTTTGGGACGCGTTCATGATGATTCAAACCGCGGACATCGAAAAAAACGGTACCCGGAAACTTTCTAGTCTTACTTATCTACAAAAACTTTGGGCTGTTTTAAAAAAAAAACACTTTTTTTTGGTATTAAGAAAAATACATGTATTATTTTTGTTCAGTCAATATAGTTAATTTCGAATATATGTATTATTTTTTGAAAACATGTATTACTGCTATCCCTTTTTTGAAGCGTGGAGAGGTAAGCAACTGTCAAAAGTCCTCATGGCCGTGCATTTTATATGGGACGTCCCCTAATAACGCGGCATCAACGTTGAAGAAATTAAATTTTCGATTTTGACGGCGCGTTATCTGAAGCAGTTAGATGTGAACGATAAGAATGATAAATAATAAAACTCTGACGAAGAGGAACAGTAAATGGAGAAAATTTTTACAAATAATCTGTTTATTAAAAATGAAATGATACGATCTTGAAGAGGAAGAGAATACGCCGAAACGTTAGCGCTCTTGTTTAGGTATAGGGCGCGTTGCTACTCATAGGAAATCCAACGCAGGGCTCTCCAGTTTGTCGTTAGTTAGTTAGTTTTTGTAATTTTGAACTCATTGAATTATTAACGGCCGAGGAGAATAAACCAATACTGAAACATCCGAATAACGTTTTGAAATGCTTAGATATATACTTATAATTAATTCAGGGTATGCTGTTACGGTTGCGAGGCTTTACTCAGTGCCTACTCTTGCGCACATGTCGCGCACCTTGGAATCGTGAGCAACCTTGTGCAAGATGCGGTTGGGTCACGGCTAATGAGAGAGGAAGCTTCAGTGGAGCCATTCCGACTTATTTGCTTTGAAAGTCTGTTGAAGTTTAATTGTAGCGTCTGTTAACCAGAGGTGCGCCTGCGAGCGAACGTCGGTCTTGAAGCAAGCGGCTCGCTATGGATGTGTAAAAACGTTAAACTTACTCGCCCAACGCGATTGTGCACTGGGTTTGGGACCCGTCACGTAGAAACCAGCTCCAATGAAAAACACAACAACGCCTCGGAAAAAATGCTCCCTTTTTGTTAACGACCTTCTCAAACGAATTAAGGATCACGAATTGAGGGCATGCACCTGGAATGTCTGGTCCCTTAATTGGGAAAGTGCCACTGCCCAGCTGATTGATGTCATCGTAAAAATAAAGGCTGACATTACCGCTGTCCAAGAAGTGTGATTGGCGAACAAAGGACGAATGCAAGTAAGTTCTTGTGACATCTACAACAGCGGCCATATAAAGGAGCGCAAATTTAGTGTCGGACTTGAAGTGGGAGAGAGACTCCGTCGTCGAGTAATGACATTTACCCAGGTGGATGAGCATCTCGCCACAATCCGCATCAATCGCACTTATCATATCGTTGATATACTGCCTCGAATCGATGTGAAAACTATGATTGGCTTGTCCTTGATCGAAGAATACAAAATCAGATCGATCCTGTTGCGATAGAAGGAAAACATGTTTCCAGTGTCCTTGACCTGCGTGTACTCCTAGGACTCAACATCGACACTGACCATGTGTATCGAAGAACGCCAGTCAACAAAAACAAGGAAGGTTTAATGTTGAAATGCTGCAATCACAACAGACTGCCAAACGATTTTCTACTCGTCTTGTACTCCTGCTCTCTGAGAGCACTAAGCGACTCGGTATACTGGACCTGTGGGACAGCATTGCAAACTCCCTTCGTACAGCTACAAACGAAACTATTGGATTTCGTAAATGTCGCAAAAACAGCTGGTACGATGAGGACTGCCGTGTCGCAGTGGAGAGAAAACAGACTACCATCATCGCAACCTTGCGATGGACCAGAACACGCTACCGAGCTCGGAATCCCAATCTTTGACGATGGAATAGACATCCAAACAAGAAAGCGGCGGGAGCTGACGGCCTTCCGGCAGAACTACTTAGACATGGCGATGAAGAGCTGACAAGATGAATGCATCAGCTAATTTGCAGAATATGGTCAGACGAAAGCATGTCCGACGATTGGAATTTAAGTGTGCTCTGCCAAATCCATAATAAAGGAGACCTAACAGTCTGCGCCAATTATTATTTGATATCATCCTTAATATCGCCCATAAAGTCCTGTCGAGCATATTATGTGAAAGACTAAAGCCCACGGTCAACAAACTGAATGGACATACGATATTAGAAGGAGATGCCAACGCTTAAAGGAAAAACCTTCGATAGATGCCTGCGAGAAATCGTTAGTTATATAAGAGCCAGTATGTTATATTGAAGCGGAGTAATCTGAGCGTAAAGTTAGTAGGCTGTGTATTTATTGTAGAAATAGAGGTAGTGAATTCGAAGAAGAGGAAATCGATTTTCGTCATTTCCAATGGGATTTTCGCCAAAATCTTTATCCGAATACTATTGTACTCACTTAAAGCTTATAAATCCACCCACCCTCTTTAGCCTTAGATAAAAGCTGAGCATACTTTTTTAGGCATAACTTCTTGACTTATTAAAACGGCTTGAACGGTATCTTTAGGGGCAACTCAACTTAAGAGGTATAGTAGTGTCAAATGTGTAAGAACACAACAATAAAAAAGAAGATAGTAAAACTTGGGACTCTTATTTAACAATCTTGCAAATGGTTGAACTCGAAAGATTTGCGGATATACAGGAGTTAATTGAGAAAATCTTTACAATATGTACATATACTTAAGCATAAAACGCAACCGCTCTTGGGAAAGTAATCGGGAGATGTAAAGCAAATAAAATAATATCTGCCACAAAAGTTAGCTTATCAATGAATGATTTAAAATTACATGATGATAATGTAGATATAAAATTACTTACTTGGTACTCCCGACACTAGTCGTAGGGGACGTAGGACTCGAAAAGCTCTGAGGGCTTTTACATCGAAGCCTTCCTTCATAAGATTAGAAAGTACCGTGCTTATCATGCTGTGAAATATGTACGTATTAAAAATAGCAAAAACATTTAAATAACGATTAATGTTCAGATATATGTATCAGGCATTAAAGATAAATAAAGTAAGAATGTATGAAAAGAGGTATGCTTGTAAACGATGACCAATAAAAAACAAAATAAATTATAGCTAAAGGAAGAAAATAAGGTTTCTCTTGGCGTAAAGGGAATCTGAATCTCCGGATTTAAATTAAAAACTCTTTCAGAAACGCTTAGTTTAAATTCATATTTTTAAAAATGGAAATGATTTTTTGCTAAAATCCAGCTTAATTTATTTCTTCGAAGATTCAGTTTTTCACACAGATGTTTTCGAAATAATAAGAACAACCGCACTGATAATAAATAATGTTACCTATATGTTTACCAATTTTACTTTATTTTAACTCTGCTGTTTAAGCACCCAACATACACTATCATATAGACTCGTATCAACATCCGGTTTGCCCCGTTCTTCCGTGTCCCTTTGGGCGACTAAATTTCCCACACCGTTATCGAATCTACCGCTTAACCGCGGTTTCCGAGCTACAATATCTAATGAGTGATTATATCTTTTTTCACCATATCATGCGTCTTATCTTAAAATGGCCTTGACGATCCGCTATTTCTATAATTTCTCGCTCGCTAGGGACGGTACGACTGATTGGCTCTTTACATATTATGTCACATATCATCAAATAGTCATCGTAGCTGCTACTTTCCAAAACCTTTCGTACAGCGCGTGTCCGTTTATCTGCTAACTGTGTTTGTTAAATTCGATATTGTAACTTATTTCCTACTGTCAGGCAAATAACGCGATTCAGGTGTTTCATTTTGTTTGGTGTAGTCGACTCTTCTTTCCACACAGCCTTTGCAAACGCGTTAGAATTTTTGAATTTTGTCCCCAGTACTTACATCAAGTACATCTTTAATGCTTCTATAACTGCTAGCACCTCCAGTTCGTGCGAGTGATAATTTTTTTCAGTAGCTGTCGTTTTCCTGCCCGTGTCCTGAACTGATTGTCGTTTTCCGTCGTCTTAGTCCTTTTCCGTCTGTATGAACTTCAGTTGCTGTCGAGAATTATATATCATCATTTGTAACTGCTTTTGTCTTTTCGTTGGATATTTCAATTTTCGATTTGTCAATAATATACCCCAAACAAATTTATTGTTCTCTTTAAAAATTTAAATTGTTACTATTTATTCCTGAGACCCTGTGATATTGCAATCCCTAATACCTTTTGCAACTTATACACTTCCTCGTGTTCATCATTTGACGGAATTATAATGTCATCCATGTAAATAACTAACACACTTTCTTGCAATCCATCTTTTTGTCAGATACTGCCCTCCATCGTATCCATCACTTGCTTTTCTACCAGTACCTGCAGTGCAATTTTGTAACTTTTATCGACACGATTTGTCGGATCGCAAAGTTACGAATTTTGTCGCTTGCGCTAACGATTATGAGATTCTCTAACGCAGTTGTTACGATAATCGACATTGCACATTTCCATTTTATTAAAATGTAGGAAAGTTGGCACCACAGCTCAACGAAACGTCAAAATGTACGAAAAGCACAAAGGGAATGACAAAAACAAATAAAATTGTTATTGAAATTATTTTTATTAAATGAATAGCAATGCATTACAAAGCTTTTCAAAAGCATGTTATGGCTTGCACTTTCATGCATGACTCTTCGCTCGATAGGGGAGCTCCAAATAAAATAATTGTGCCGCGCTCTTGGGTACTTGGCATTTGCCAGTATAATCTTGCGATAAGGACCACCTACCTATGTGAAAATATAATTAACTTTGTTACTACAATAGTAATCGGAAACAAATTTACTCTCACTATTTGCACATTGATGGAATGGTATCCATGGTGGTTTATATACGCTTCTTCATGATTTTTGGGACTCATGTGCAATCGATAGCTCCAATAGTGCCGCCAACAAATGGTGACGATGACGAAGCAAAAATTTGGAAAACTAACAGAAAACTTCGAACGGTTGAATGCGTCTGTTACGCGATGAATACAACAGTTTACTGAGGATTGACTCATGCAAAAAATCGCGAGGTGGTTAGAACCTTTAAACATTTTAATAGTAGACTAAAAAAAAATATTAAAAAATACATTAATACCTGTTTCTCCGTAGACAATGCTGTTATTCTTCTTCCTTTTAGTTGACAATCTAGTTCAGAAACGATTTCTTCAACTAAATCCGGCGAAACTCGGTAGCATCCAAATGAAAAGGATCTTCCGCTTCTCGACGCAAACTTCTATTCAATGATGAAGATTAGGATACCTCTTCATCTTGTGATAAATCCTGTGCCAAATATTCAAAAGCCACTTATTTTATTATTTTGTTTATATTTTTTTTGTATTACTTAGACACTTTACTCTCTTATATGAAATAACAAAATTTTGTCGATTAGCGATTTTTCCAGTAGTTTACGACAACAGCGAGAGCGAATATCGTTAAAACAAGTACACCGAATATTAAAATCGTTAGAATTGTCGCTAAGTCTTCTTTTCGATCCGAAAATCGTTATACCATTTTAGAGATAGCGATTATCGTTAAAAAAAATCGCTAAATCTAATTTGCGATCCGAAAATCGTTATAATGTGCTTAGAGAATAGCAAAATCGTTAAAATTTCGTTAAGTCATTATAACGATCCAAAAATCGTTATAATACGATAGAGAATTGCCCTACTGATCTGAAATAGGTAATCTTCTAGGACGACTGTATACGGCGGGAACATCTCTTCGGTGCAGGCGGGAATTTCGCGATCGGTTGCATAAAGCATTAGTTAGCGGATTTGGACGAATTCTTAGCTTCGTGAAGTACTTCGCCCTGCTTCTATCAATATCAGACTTAACTAGTAAAATACCAAGGTCTTGATGAACGTTAACGTTACGAACGTACCATGGTACGCAAATGAATATGGATGTCGTGTATAGTGAAACGATTCCTGCCTTTCGCTTTTACCTCTGCTGCGTAAGCTAGACTGTTTCTCCTTCTACGCATTTCTTCCAAATATGGCAATTAAACACATGCTTAGTTTATTGAGACTACGCTATTTTCCTAAATCCTGGAAGCTTTTGGGGTTATTATGATCTCAAACCAGGTACAGATCCATCTTTGTTAGGCTCCTACAGGCCAATTAGCTTAATTACGGTATTCTCAAAAATCTTCGGGCCCGTCTTATATTTAAGTTATACGGACGATCTTTCTACAAACCTCATCACATTAACTACTTTTGCGGACGATACAGCAATACTAACAGGCCTTTTCTGTCGAGGTAAGAAAATTTAGTTAGGTATTAAAATTTACCATTCAGTTAATTTTGTTACCATTTCGTATTCTGAGCTCACTGTTACCCTGTAAATTTTGTTACCAGCGAAATAGGAGGTAAAAAAAATATCTGCTCTTTGATTTTGTGTTGTTGGTTTCAGAAAAATTAAAAACAAATATCGGTAGGCGTATTTTAGGCCTAGAATTCATTGAAGATGAAGAAAAAAAGCAAAAAAGCAAAAGGCCGTATTTCGAGAAGTTTTCGAGTCAAAAAATAGCACTTTAATTTGTAAGATATTGTTCTCATTCACCTTTTTTATTGTCCAGGCATATTTTCCATAATTAGGTTCAAATATTTATGATTTTATAAACAAATTAATAAAACTTTTTCATTTTCTTGTGCACCATTTTCAGTTCGCCAGAATACCTAATTCAATTTCGGGTGTTAAAGAAAAGTAACAAAACTTACTTTACCGGCAACAGTGAGAATAGGCCTGTTAGTGTCCATTCATACCCAATGACAGCCAGTTACAGATTACAAGGACATGAAAAAGTAAAAGAAGAGTGGCTAACAGCTTGGAAAATTAAAGTCAATGAGTCTGAGTGTATACAAGCAACATTTACCGTAAAAAATACACATGTCCTACAATCTCTATAAATGGGAATACAATAACTCAGAAAGAATTCGTTACCTACCTGGGAGTAACATTGGATAAAAGACTCACCTCACCTCATTCATAGACGAAAAGATTAATGAAACCCAATTGAAAATTGCGTACTTGCTTTGGATTGTAGGCTCTAAGTCTAAGCTAAGTTTAGAAAACAAAGTTTTCCTCTTTCAAATGCTTGTAAAGCCATCTTGGACGTACGTATCCAAATTTGGGGCTCAGCATCCAAATCTAGCCTAGAAAGAATTCCAAGACTGCAGTTGACCTTAGGATCAATATGCAAAGCCTCTTGGTATGTATAAAGCTCCACAACTCACAGCGGGGAAATAGAGAAACTGCTTAAAAATTACTCATTAAGGTTATCTAACCAGCCAAACTTTCTAGCTAAATACTTATTGCAGCATAACTACCCTATGCGATTAAAGAGAAAGGATTTACGTCTGAACTGTGACTAAGGGCTCTGCGGCGTCCAATTATTCTACTTCGAAGTTGTACAGGATACAGGCATCTCGTTATCATGTGTATGCAACAATAGCAAAAATTTTAATACCCATGTACATGGCAATATGTTTGATATTTTCTACTCTTCTGCTGTGAGGTACAATTTAAGAGTGAAGTTTGTTTTCGTTGTTAATTACATAATATATATTTTTTAATTGGCGCTTAGTGACCGCTGAAGCAATTTTCTGCCGAGCTCCTCCTCCAATTTCTGGTTTTGCATCTTGATGTGTTTCCAACACGGTTAATACTCAGCCGCCTCCGAACGACTGATGGTTATTTTTGTCATGAGCCGTTATTTCATGTCAGAAATGCACTCGGAGGGGTGGACATTCACTGCCGATGGGTGACGACTTTGACTTTTCTGTTGTAAACAAAATTCAAAAAATTTACGATCCCCATGGGCATTCTTTTGTTCGACCATATATTGCAAAGAAGCTGACGCATGCATTTTATTAGCTATTTGGTACCAGTTGTTCTGACCGTAAGCTATCGCCGCTGCAAGTATGCCCTTGACATCGGTTACTACCTTCGT